ACTTTAATAATTATTGTCATTGGATGGCACGATTACATGTACAATGCTTCCACAAAGAATACTTCAAAGTCGATAGAAAAAGGAAACAATATCAATGAAACGATTGTTGATGGATCTCAAAGTTTGGTGAAATTTGTTATCGATGAATCGTTAGAATGAAATCGATAGAATGATCGTCGTTGATCGCGCTTCGAGGAATCTTAATGCAAACTTCAAAACAGTTTCCGTCAACCGTGAATACATTTTGACATATGTGTGGACGTTGAACCTGGCCATTTTATATTTCAACAGCGTGTCGAAAATCTGTGTGCTCTGATGGTACATTATTCTACGGCTACGCTCCATTTCCCACTGTCGAGACAATATCGGTTTACTAGCGTGACTAATGATGATGAGATCTTGAACGGTAAGAACAGTTATTGTTGTACCTTCGACTCGCGTTATCACGTCTGATAATAAATAACGTGCACTTATCAGTCATTAATCTTGCACACCGATGCATCTCTATCTGTGGAATTGGATGCGTTTATCGTTGAACGTTGTGTGTTTGAACGTTTAATACCTAGATAGAGCACGATAAGTGCAACAAATTGACGGAGTGAATTCAAGATGAAGAAAAGTATAATTCGATATGCTTTCGTTCTCCAAAGTATTTTGCAATTTTTGACGCGAAAAAAGTCTCTGTTGAGATCCATTTGATCTCCTTGTCCGTTGCTAATGTTATTTCCTTCTCGCTGCGAGAGAACGTCCCCCTCGTTCTCGTGTTCTCAAGCGCGATGGAACACGACGGGACAGCCGTAGGAGACGGCGTTTAAAGTCGTTGGTCCTTGTTAGCGTAGCTTCATCAGACACCTCAGAGACTCACTGATACCACGAGACTCTTTCAAGCACACTGAGCAAAAGGGCGCAACGGCCGTCTAAAAAGCCGTGTCAGACGCTATTTACTTGCGAAAGACTAAAAGCACTTGAAACAAATCTCGTCGGAGAAGCAGAATAATCCTCATCCATTCCGTCGAAATTTCAATTGCAAAGTCGAATGCTATTCAAATAAATTGAAGAACAATCTTTTTGATGGTTAGAAAAATAATTCTACTTCGATGGATTAATAAAAATGGTGGTTAGCAGCCGATTAGGTGACTCGCTTTCGCGCCGCTTTTGCCATTCTTTCGAGTCCTAACGTTCGTTTTTAAAATTCGTTAAATTAAATATATATCGTCAGGGAGGCAGACATTGAAAATTCTGTACACAGCACGGTCCATGAAAAAGAAATGTCAGAGTTTTTTACATTTTTCATTTTAGTTTGTACATGATATAATAAATGAACCTTTGTGTTATGCATCGCCAGAAACTTTTGCATTCGTAAACCTCTCTGGTGCCATAAAAGCGGATGTTCACTGCAACGTGTTTTAAAAGAAACGCGTCTATGACCATCTTTTCTGATGCGCAAATACAATATACTTTACTATGCTTACGATATATATATTTTACTGTGTTTACAATATATTTCCTGCTGCATTTTTCCGGGGGAAATTTCAGCGTCACTTAACTGGCAGAAATGTTTTGAATCTCACCATCCTCAATTATTCTTGTTATCATTCATTTCAATATTTTTAGTATACAAATCTTTAGAACCACTTTGTACTAGTATCATGTAAAAGAAAATTATTAAATATTCTTGTTATTATTCATTTCAATTTTTTTAGAACCTCTTTGTACTAATACCATGTGAAAGAAATTTATTAAATATTTTTGTTATCGTTCATTTCAATTTTTTTAGTATATAAATCTTTAGAACCACTTTGCACTAATATCATGTGAACGAAAATTAAATTAACTAAATATTCTTGTTATTATTCATTTCAATTCTTTTAGTATACAAATCTTTAGAACCACTTTGCACTAATACCATGTGAAAGAAAATTATTAAATATTTTTGTTATCGTTCATTTCAATTTTTTTAGTATACAAATCTTTAGAACCACTTTGTACTAATACCATGTGAAAGAAAAATTAAATTAAGAAATTAAATATTCTTATTATTATTCATTTCAATCTTTTAGTATAGAAATCTTTAGAACCACTTTGTACTAGTATCATGTGAAAGAAAATTATTAAATATTCTTGTTATTATTCATTTCAATTTTTTTAGTATACAAATCTTTAGGCACCTCTTCGTGCTAATACTATGTGAAAGAAAATTATTAAATATTCTTGTCATCGTTTATTTCAACATTTTTAATATAGAAATCTTTAGAACCACTTTGTACTAATACCACGCGAAAGAGAATTATTAAATATTCTTGTTATTATTAATTTTAATTTCTTTAGTATAAAAAAATTGCTTTAATTTCTATCCTACTTCTCATTCTACTTTGACAAAGAATGCCAACCACTCGCGCAAGGTTACGCGTGCAAATAACTGTGGCATTAACAGTGTTCAAAACAAGAATAAAATAGTTATACTTCAATGGAAAATCGAATGTTCACTCGCGTACTTTCGTTACAGGACTGCCTGGTAAGAAGGGTGAACCCGGTGATTCCGGTGTCGACGGATATCCGGGAACGCCAGGCTACCCAGGACTGCCTGGACCTCGCGGGTTCAAAGGCGTGCAAGGCAAACGAGGTGTCATGGGTCCAAGAGGATTGGAAGGTGACAGCGGACGACCAGGAATCGCTGGTCCACAAGGACCAAAGGGCGAGACGGGGAAATTGATACTTCCGGGCCCGATGACCAGACAGCCTGGCGACGTTGGTGACAAGGGTTATCCTGGCATCGAGGGACCGCGAGGACCGCGAGGGCCACTTGGCATTCGCGGCGACGCGGGCGCTCCAGGTCCTAAGGGAGAAAAGGTAAGCAACTCGATGGATATTCTTTAGCTTTCGACGCAGTTCCTCAAGCGAAATACTCTTCAACATCCTCGTCGCTTGACTTTGTATCGTCTTGTAAGTTTTTCTGCGACAGATTTCGATAACTATAATCTTTTCGCAACACGGTTCGTTCGTTCGTTCATGACACGTGTCTGATTCTCAAGCAGCGATGGAAAAATTCAAAGTGCTGTCACGTTTGTTAACCCTTTGCCCTCGACAAACGATATAGCATTGGACATGATCATTCGAATGGTATATTAACACGAAATTATTTCAACGAGTAATGTCGTTCAAATTACAAAGCAGTCATCAATGTGCATTGCAGGTTTGCTGGAGCAAGTATATAATATACAAGAGTGTATCAATGATACATAGTTCCAATCTCTGGGAAAATATTTTCTTAAGGACGTTTCGTTAGGGACGATAAGAAGTCCAGTTTATGTGAATGATTTCGAATTACGTTGATCGTTGAGTGTCAATTGGCTCAGGACTTCCTTCGTATTATTTGATTTATACAATTAAAGTATTATTGCTTGACATTATTTAGTACACAAACAATAATACTAAAAACATGCAAATTACGAATGCAAAAGCAAAATCTTTAAATACTTTTCTCTATAGTTTTCTTTTTTTGTGAACATTGTAAGAGCATACTTCAGGAGCAAAATTATTAATCGCGATGGCGTGGCCGGTATACTAAAAGGGAAAGTAACTAAAAATCGGCTAATGTTAATTGATTCCTTCTGGAAATACCAAAGAAAGGTCGTTCGTTTGCTTTACAGGGTGATCATGGTCTTCCGGGATTGCCAGGAAGCGATGGTTTCCCCGCGTTGGATGGTATCCCGGGTTTGCCAGGTGACAACGCGTCGATACCGGTCGTGTTTCTGCGAGGTGTGCCGGGTTTCTCGGGCAGTCCGGGGGTGAGAGGCGCGAGGGGTGAGAAAGGAGGGAAAGGTGAAACCGGTGAATCTTATCCTCCGCCGGTTATAAATCTGAAGGGAGACAAAGGGCACAAAGGAATACGGGGCGACATAGGTGAGCCAAGCCTAAATAAAGGGGCCAACAATCTTATCTAAAGAGAAGAGAGAACCAAATGAATGAAACCTTCTGTTTCAAATCTCGAGGTATCGAATCGTGTTAAGCCCTATCTTAAATGGTCAATCGATAAGTCACACATATTTCTCGTTTAAAGGCTTGAGGTTTTGAATGAATTAAAAAAATATTTCTACATTCACTGTGGAGCAAAATACTACAGGAAATGTTTGGTCTAGTGAGATAAGAATTTACTGTGGCTGTGAAATTTTGACTTCTGAAGCTGGAAATGGCTTGGGCCATTCTCTTAAACTTTATTATAAAAAAAATATACATTTTCAATCAAATTCATTAATTCACATTTTATAATTATGTTTTTTCATGTACAGTGGTTAATCTTTTCTGATTTTCTCCTCATCCTTCGAAAATGAGATTTCGAGCCTCGAGTGAGTTAAATATATTTGTAGAAATTACGTCAGATCATTTTATTTTGAATGTGACGGCAAATAACTAATAAGATAAATTCATTTCTTTTTTTTTTCTAAATTTCTTGATCACTTGCATAATTAAAACGGCACAAATGCTTCGATGTTTTACGAAATGATTTTACGCAGGCAAGGATGGCGAGAAAGGAGCGCAAGGATGGCCCGGTGACGAAGGATTTCAAGGACTACCGGGACTCCCCGGGCCCCGCGGCATATCGCTGCATGGTCCTGAAGGTTTGAAGGGTTATCCCGGCATGCCTGGAGATCAAGGTCTTCGTGGAACACCGGGCACACCGGGATTACAAGGACCTGTCGGTTTCCCGGTACGTGTACAGGGAACATCAGTTTTATAAAATTATAAAATTATCTTTCACAATTTTCCAATTCGCTGCGAAGATCATAATTACACCAACGACATTGAAGACATGTACAGGCTGATATAATTTTGTAAAAAAGAAAAAAAGATCGCGCAATCTCGTTTTAAAGCGTGAAGCACTTTCGTTTTTTTTTTTTTTTTTTCTTTAAATTTGCGTCATACAACGAATTTCTGTGGAAAATTGTCAAACGCAACTAAAGACATTAAAAAAAGAACTTCTTCTTTTTGTGACTTGATTGGAATTTTCCATTTGCAACAAGATCTTGTAAAACTCGCTATAGGGATTAGATGACGAAATGTTGAATGAAAAATTGTTCGATAAAAATCGTACAAATGTTAAAGCACCTCGTCCTTAACGATATCAAAATGATGGATCAAATTTCTTTCTCATGTCTCTTAGTTTCTCACTTAGCTTAATTACAGTTAGCTTAATTATTGATTCTTTAGGGCCGCTTAGGTAACAAGGGAGATCGCGGAGATCCTGGATCGAATCAGACGTACGGCGATTACGGGTTAACGGGTTGGCCCGGTGATAAGGGGAACATCGGTGACGCTGGACCTAGAGGTTTGCAAGGTAGACCCGGATTGGACGGAGTAAAAGGCACGAAAGGTGGCAAGGGTGCTCCTGGTCCGGAGGGACTGCCTGGACTTCAGGTACAATTACACGATTTCTCAATGAAAGAACGACTGGAGTTTGATACTCGAGATTTAACACTGATCAACATTGATCAACAGGGAGCCAAAGGTCAACGAGGCGACAGCGTTCAGGGAATTAGAGGCTTCCCTGGAATACCTGGACAACCAGGAATGCCCGGGCGAATGGGAGAAATCGGCAGGCCAGGTGCGATCACCTAATTTTTATTAATCTAAACAGAGAAACTACATAATTAAATAATTATTTTCTTCGACGCGCAAAACTACATAATTGCTTGTGATGAATAGTTAAGTGATCAGCATTAAATGTTGCAACGAGTTTTTACAAATAATTTGGACATTGCGTACGTTCTGTTTTCATCTCTGCGAAAGTTGAGAAACTTTCCTTCCCCCGCAGGTTCCTACGGAACGCCGGGATTCGAAGGGATGAAAGGCCTGAAGGGAGAGATCGGTGTCAAAGGGCGCAGCGGCGAAGAGGGTGACATTGGGCCGATGGGCTACTTGGGAAGAGACGGTGTCGCGGGTCTGCCAGGCCCACCAGGGCCGAAAGGTGACATTGGCGAGATCGGCGAGTCCGGTCCTCCCGGATGGCCTGGCCTCGAGGGGATACCCGGAACGTCGGGAGCCAAGGGAGAACCAGGAGACGTTGGCCCCGAGGGTCTCGTGGGCATTATGGGGCTGCCTGGTCCAAAAGGCATGCCTGGAGACGTCGGGCTGGATGGTTTGGACGGACTGCCGGGTGAGAACGCGTTCAGCGGGCCGCAAGGTGACATTGGTGAACCTGGTTTCATAGGGGAAATCGGGCCCCCCGGCACTCCCGGCATGGACGGACGACGCGGTATACCCGGTGAACCAGCAATATCTATAAATGGCAAGCCTGGACCGAAAGGAGAGAAAGGTGAAATTGGCTTCGACGGGTTCAACGGGCTAGCCGGACTGAAAGTAAGCTTCTTAGCGACGACTGATGATTAGAAACTACAATCGAATCGCAGCGGTGTAGATGCATTATTTCCATTTACGGATAATTTATTGCGAAATTAGATTAGAACGAAATTTAGAATAAAATTACTGCCCACCGGAATCGTTTGAATTGGGTAGAAAAATTTTCAACGCGATTAATTCGTTGAATTCTCTCTATTCGTTTGAT